AAGCGCAAGAGGCGCAGTTCTGGTAAATTCAAGTTTGGTTTCGGACGTGGACAGCCAGATCCATCAACACTGGGTCCACGGATAATACATCTGAACAACCCACCCGCAAATGCGGCGAATAAGCACGTTGACAATCACATATCGACTGCTAAATACAATGTCGCCACGTTCGTACCGAAATTCCTCTTTGAACAGTTCTCGAAATACGCAAACTTATTCTTCTTGTTTACTGCCATACTACAACAGATACCTAACATCTCACCCACAAACAAGTTCACCACTATCGTTCCCCTCGGTGTTGTGCTTTTAGTCTCTGCAATAAAGGAGTATGTTGAAGATCATCGGCGGAAGCACTCGGATAAGTCACTCAATGGTTCTAAAGCACGGGTATTGAAGGGTTCCAGCTTCCAGGATACTCGGTGGGTCAACGTAGCAGTAGGGGACATTGTGCGAGTGGAGTCTGAGGAGCCTTTCCCTGCGGATCTAGTACTTCTAGCTTCTTCTGAACCGGAAGGATTATGTTACATTGAAACTGCAAATCTGGACGGGGAAACAAATCTTAAAATTAAGCAAGCTATCCCGGAAACAGCAGACCTTGTCAGCCCTGCCGAACTTAGTAGGCTGGGTGGAAAGATTCGGTCCGAGCAGCCAAATAGTAGTTTATATACTTATGAGGCAACACTAACCGTCCACACTGGAGGAGGAGAGAAGGAGCTCTCGCTAGCACCTGATCAGCTCCTATTGCGTGGAGCTACTCTTCGAAACACCCCTTGGATCCATGGAGTCGCTGTTTTCACTGGACACGAAACCAAACTTATGAGAAATGCCACAGCCACACCTATCAAGAAAACCGCTGTTGAAAGGATGGTAAACCGCCAAATTCTAATGCTCGGAGCAATCCTGATTTCCCTCAGCTTGGTCAGTTCTATTGGCGATCTCGTTGTGAGAGAAACGGCAAGTTCAAAGCTGCAGTATCTCGACTATGGCAGTTTCAACGCTGCTCAGCAGTTTTTCTCCGATATTTTCACTTATTGGGTTCTCTATTCTAACCTGGTTCCTATCTCTCTCTTCGTTACAATTGAAATTGTCAAGTACTATCAGGCCTTTTTGATTGACTCTGACCTGGACATCTACTATGACAAGACGGATACCCCGGCTAATTGCCGCACTTCTTCCTTGGTGGAAGAACTGGGTCAGATCGAGTACATTTTCTCCGATAAAACAGGTACTCTAACTTGTAACCAGATGGAGTTCAGGCAAAGTTCTATTGCAGGAATCCAATACGCCGACGAGGTTCCAGAGGACAGAAGAGCAACAATTCAGGATGGTCAGGAAATTGGGATCCATGACTTCAAGAGGCTTGCAGAGAATCGGCAAGCTCACGCTTCGCGAGAGATCATCAATCATTTTCTCACCCTCCTAGCAACTTGTCACACTGTTATTCCAGAAAGAGGCGACGAAAAGACCGGCGACATCAAATATCAAGCAGCTTCTCCCGATGAGGGCGCGCTCGTCGAAGGGGCAGTCATGCTAGGCTATAGATTTATTGCCAGAAAACCACGCTCTGTTACCATCCTTGTGGAGGGCCAGGAGCGTGAGTATGAACTGCTTGCAGTCTGCGAGTTTAATTCTACCAGGAAACGGATGTCAACAATATTCCGATGTCCGGACGGCAAGATTAGGTGCTATTGCAAAGGTGCGGATACGGTCATCTTGGAGCGCCTTGCGAAAGACAATCCGTTTGTGGAGCCTACATTACAGCACTTGGAAGAATATGCTGCAGATGGCCTCCGTACACTTTGTTTGGCGATGCGAGAAGTTCCAGAAAGCGAGTTTCAAGACTGGTGGCACGTCTTCAATACAGCGCAAACAACTGTTAGCGGGAATCGTGCCGAAGAACTGGACAAAGCTGCCGAGCTTATAGAACGGGAACTTACACTCCTGGGAGCAACCGCCATTGAAGACAAATTGCAAGATGGCGTTCCAGATACAATTCACACACTGCAATCCGCTGGTATCAAGATCTGGGTATTGACTGGCGATCGTCAGGAAACAGCTATAAATATTGGCATGAGCTGCAAGCTGATAAGTGAGGACATGACGCTTCTTATCGTGAATGAAAATACCGCGGAGGCAACGAGAGACAACTTGTCTAAGAAACTAAACGCGATTAAGAGCCAATCCGCCGGCGGTATCGAGATGGATGTTCTAGCTCTCGTTATTGATGGCAAGTCTCTCACGTTTGCGCTAGAGCGAGATATAGAGAAAATGTTCCTGGAGCTTGCAGTGATGTGCAAAGCCGTCATATGTTGGTAAGTCCACTGAATATCATCTCTCTTGCTCATAGTGCTGACCCCTTCCTGAGTCGTGTCTCCCCTCTGCAAAAGGCCCTGGTTGTGAAACTTGTAAAGCGTCACCTAAAGGCCATTCTTCTCGCTATCGGCGACGGAGCAAACGATGTTTCTATGATACAAGCTGCACATGTTGGCGTCGGTATTAGCGGCGTTGAGGGCCTTCAAGCCGCTCGAAGCGCTGATGTTGCGATCGGGCAATTCCGCTATCTGCGCAAGCTGCTCCTCGTTCACGGTTCCTGGAGCTACCAGCGAATCAGCAAAGTGATCCTATACTCGTTCTACAAGAACATAGCACTTTTCATGACACAGTTTTGGGTATGCTCCTTCCTTCCATCCTCCGTATAATCGTTGAGAATATCTTTTTCTAATGCACACTAGTACTCCTTCCAAAATAGTTTCTCAGGTCAAGTCATATATGAATCGTGGACTCTCTCCTTTTACAATGTCTTCTTCACCTTTCTACCGCCCTTTGTGCTCGGTATCTTCGACCAATTCGTTAGCGCTCGCCTTCTCGATCGCTATCCACAATTGTACCAACTTAGCCAAAAGGGGGTTTTCTTCAAAATGCACTCCTTCTGGTCTTGGATTCTCAATGGCTTCTATCACTCCATGATCCTCTACTTCGTCTCCCAGGCCATATTCTTATGGGATCTGCCACAAAGTGACGGCAAGAACGCAGGTCATTGGGTATGGGGTGCAGCATTGTACACTGCGGCTCTAGCGACAGTGCTAGGCAAGGCGGCATTGATAACGAATATATGGACCAAGTATACAGTATTAGCTATTCCGGGAAGCATGGTTGTTTGGATGATATTCTTGCCAGTTTATGGGACCGTGGCTCCGAAACTAGGATTCTCGACCGAGTATACAGGGGTTATCCCGAGACTGTTTCCAAGCCCTGTCTTTTGGCTTATGGGGCTTGTACTTCCAGCACTGTGCTTGACTAGGGATTTTGCATGGAAATAGTGAGTTCTTGATTCCTTGCAGAAATATGGACTATGCTGACATTGGTGTGTAGTGCCAAGCGCATGTATTATCCGCAAGCCTATCATCACATTCAGGAGATTCAGAAATATAACATTCAAGATTACCGCCCACGGTCCGTATTCCTTCAAATACCTTCACTCTTTCATACTGACGTGTCTATAGGATGGAGCAGTTCCAGAAAGCCATCCGCAAAGTCCGACAAGTACAACGCATGCGCAAGCAGCGAGGATACGCTTTTTCACAAACAGACGAATCGCAGGCTAGAGTATTACAAGCCTATGATACTACACGTGAAAGAGGCAGATACGGTGAGATGGCTAGTTCGAGGAAATGATATATTATGTAACGGCGTTTGGGACCTCGGGCTCACGTATCATATTGTGTATTCATTCTGCGGGTCTTTGTGCAATTGAAACTGAAGATGAACGGAATTGTTAGTAAGCAATGAGAGGAGCATCTAGAGAAAATGGCTTGTAGAGAGACAATACGGTGTTTTCGTAATTTGGCACCTTCGGAGTTGACTTAGTCCTAATTGGATGAGGCTGTTCTAGGCTAATTAGCTCATTTCTCCATGTATATCTCTTTCGGTACTTCGGCAAGGCATTAAAATGACACCATTGTATGATTTTAACTTGCGAAGGCGGGTGAGCTTTGCTGAGCACTTGCCCGATACACATTCCGACCTTTTTGTTTCGATGCTTCATTCTCCAACTCTTACCACAAGCCATGCAGCGATAGCTATTTCTACTAATGAGATTGCTCCCCCAGAAGAGTTAATTGAGCGGGTGGTATTACAAGTTTTCATAGAGGCCTCGGAAGTAAACTTCAGGAACCAAAATATCATGTCATAGTAGTGTTACAGATTAGGATTAGTGCACTAGACGATGACGTGGTGATGTGACGATATACAACTAAGTTAGCTAATGTAATGAAGCCTTGGAATGTAGGCATCTCAAACGTAGACTTCTTGGATGAAATCTAGACGTCGAGCAGCTAGAACGCCGCGTATGTGATTGAACTCATCAATAAGGGCTACTCTATACACCTCGTTCTGTTTATCTTAAGCATTCAGAGAGTATGGCACAGGTGAAGTGACATTTCTCTCTAGGTGTCCACTTGTTGGATACCATTATCTCAACTCGGGACAAGCGTCTCCTATCCTGGCACTTTACCCTTTATTTCCCCGACCCTAAATAAGTGAGATCCTCCTGGTGGCAGTTCAAGTAAGATCCGAGGAATACAATTAATGGACTGTGGATAGCGTCAAGAGCTGTCGAACGAACTCGTGTGTAGATTGATCTATGAAGAAAAGAGACTATATACATGAAATAGATGAGTTATAGGAAACCCTGATCTAACCCAATATAGTAGTGATCGGCACCAGCCGATTTGATGTAAGCTGCAAAGTATCCCTAACCATATGTAATATACTTATTCTTGTCGGAAACTCTTGCGCCCTCCCGATGGTGAATTGCGGTTTTTCGAGTTGATACCTCGGCTTTCCCCGTAGTATCTTCTCTTTTTTAAATTGTGTTGGCGAGGGTACTAAGTGGCACGAGTGGATACCCTAGTTAGGCATTTGCAACCGAGACGCTGGGATATCTACAGCACACGCCAAAATCTACAGTCATATATCAATAAAATTTTCTACCACCAGTTGCTGGGTTAGATCAATCAGTAGAGCGTGTGGCTCTTAAAAAAAGACCACCTCAAGGGCGGGTTCAAGTCCCGCATCCAGCTTCAAATTTTTGTGTATCTCTTTGCCTGGCGAACTGTGTTGTTGGAATGCGATTTTTGGTCTTGCATGGCCTTCGAGGCAGAGACTTGCAATCTAGTAGCTCTGTTAAAGGCCTTTCAGTAGAAGTTGAGGTTGAGGGATATATATATATATTCATGAAGAGCATTTAAATCAGTGTGGACGCAACATTGAACTTGGATACGCATCTTCTTACCGTTTCAAGTTCCATATTCATCTCCAACCGTTCTCTTTGGAGAAGAAAGGACCTAGAATCTTGAAATAAGCTAATTCTATCGCGAACATATTTCATACTCCATAGATAACTCCTCATAGTGCCGAACAGCTAACAAATACATGATATCTCTTCTCTTTTACCTAGCGTAACACCAAAAATGACCCCGAATATCACCTTTAATGCACATGCCCCACCTGTGTCACTAGTGGAACAAGCATTCCTATTACGGCGACTACAATTTCGCTCACTGCGGGCGGGTTCTTCGCGTGAGGCCGTGCGTATGCCACGCCGAGCGAACCGTCCGCGTAGCCGTTCGAGCCAGTCTCATGGTCGTACGAGTGACCAGTGGCAGCGGATTCGTTCATCGAGTGCATGGCAACATACCTTTTTATGCAAACAAATTAATAAGATGCTTATCTTAGGTTTAACTTGAAAGGGAAAGACTTACAAAAATGTTCCTCCGGAGAACAGCAGCACGCACCCTGTCGCCCATGTTAGGCCATCGTCTCCGCCTAGCCTGGCACGGCCAAGGAGGTGAACTGCACACCAGGTTACCATGGCTCCAGCTGGAGCTGCCAGACTAAACAATATGAGATGGGTTCTTGCGATCCGCTTGGAGGTTCCCTGCTTGAGGAGTACTGAGGTGAGTCCGAACGCCGCAGGTGCTTTGTGCAGCATTATGGCCAAGAAGATGATTAAAGAGAGAGAGGTCGAGGGCGCAGTGGTTGACGCGCCCAAAGCAATTCCGTCTGCGAAAGCATGGATTACGAGGCCGATGGTTGTTGCGGACGAACGCGCCACAGGAGGTTCTGGCCCTGGAGGAGGTGAGGAAGGGATCGTTGGCGAGGTAGAATGGTGCGGCCCTCGGGAGAGGTTCGATAGCGAAATATGCAATGGACGATACTTGGGTTGAGCAGGCGCTAAAGCATCTGGAAGGACATCCACCAAATACATGAGGATGAAACCCAAGACTAGTGATACACCAACCCAGGCATGGGGTTCGCGCCCATGATTTTCGTCTTCTGGTGAATCAGACGAGTTCTCATCTGTGGGTCCGTGGGTACATGATTTTCGTCTTCTGGTGAATCAGACGAGTTCTCATCTGTGGGTCCGTGGGTACATGATTTTCGTCTTCTGGTGAATCAGACGAGTTCTCATCTGTGGGTCCGTGGGTACGGTCTTTGCCATCTTCGTGTCCTTCTGTGGAGTCGTCGTCGCCCTGGAGGGATGCTCTAACTATTATTGACGGAGCTTTGATAGCCCCAAGTTTAAGGGAGTCTTCAACAGAACGTCGATCTCGTGTTGAAGAACGGATAGAGGGATGTATAGCCCGGATATTCACGCCTTCGCTGGGGAACTCTTGAACTTCGATCGCCCTCTCTGCGTGGGAATGTGACTGCCCCTTCCCCCCTGCACTGTACAAAGTTTCAATCCCTTCGGGTATGATAACAATGAGTGCTGTCCCAACTAGGACACCTGTCCCTAGTGCAGATATGAATCGCAACTGTCGTGGCGACAGGGCGAAGGATAGAGGAAGAGCGCCGGCAAGAAAGGAGCTATTACAAGCATAATTATTAGCTTCTGGACCCAAGCTTGTTATCGAGATGGGTTTATCTTGGTACTCACGCAACTGCCATTACCGTGCTCAAAGTGAGCAGCATAAATAGACCGTCCCACATGTTGGCCTATGGTCAAGAGTTGAGCTCCTGACGTCGTTGATCAAATGGTGGATTTATAGTCGATAAGTCTTTCAAGGAGTAGCTGAATAACGTACGGGCCAGAGCATTTTACTTTTTAGCGACCCATGCCTTTGGCGTGCTGTGTCGAAGTTGAAGTGGCAGTCTTTCGTGGTATGCGGGAGTGTTGATCAAGCTAGAGTTCCTTGATTGCCATATGCAGGGCTATGTACATAAGAACAAGGCCAACCGAGACGCTTGACGCGTGAACGTCGCCTTCTTTCGCGACTGATCTTCATTCACTTTCTCCATTTTAACTCTTCCTCCGCCAACGCCCTGGTCTTAATCCAACGCCAACAATTGTTTCGCATTCCTGCAAACAGTTGCATCTACCTATTGTACAGTCTACAGCATCGGCGCCGAGCGCGGGACTTAAATACTATGGCGGAAGAACTTGAGAAATGTGGGTTGACTTCAGCAACTTGCTTGATCATTGCGCACTAATTTCTCTATCAGGGTTGGTCAGCTCCAATGAAGCGCTGAACATTAACCTCGTCCGCCCAACTAGCAAATCTGGAAACCTACGAGTCTTTGAGGAGCCGTTCCATCCCACCTTTACCTACCCAATCTTCGGCGAAGATGAGACGATATTTGGATATATTGATTTGGAATTGAACCTTGATTTTCGCGCCAACGATCTCAAGCTTTCTCTGGATATCCAGTATGAAGAGAAATGGAAACCTATTGGCCATACGAAAGCTATGGACTTGAAGGAAATGTTGAAGGATTATCTTCCAGAATGTATGACTCGGCAGTTGCGTAGACAATAGAACTTCCTGGAGGAGTTCTAAATATGGAGCATCTAGTAAATTGAAACTAGAAATTATGAGGCTGACAATCTATAGATGTCTTTGACGCGGCGAATACTTCCGCGGATACGATAGAATCAGATGTGATTGATAGCTCCTGGAAGCCTCCCGGCAAACTTCTGCATAGCTATTTGTTACATGGCAAGCAATTCGAAATATGGAGCGCCTGCCTGGCTGACCCTGCAGCCAAGGAGATATTCCGTCGAATGCAGATATTCATCCCGTTTTATATCGAAGGCGGCACGTGTCAGAATTTAGATGATCAAGACTGGACAATGGAACGCTGGACATTATTTCTTGTCTACGAAGTCACCCCACTGAAGAAATTACCTGGAACCTCGCCTTATACCATTGCCGGTTTCTCTACCTCTTACCGTCTCTGGATCTTCCCAACCCTAGAAATCCTGCGCGCAACCGGCTCCATCACCGATACCTCAAACGGCAATTTGACCTCCTATACACCACCACAACTAGCCACAAATCCTGAAACTTTTAGATATGCCGAACCATACAATCCTCTCTCCGCCCCCTCACGCGAACGGATATCGCAATTCGTGATCCTCCCTCCATACCAGTCCCAATCCCACGGCACCCACCTCTACAACACCATGTTCACTCTCTTCGTCTCCACACCCAACATTTACGAAATCACCGTCGAAGACCCGAACGAAGCCTTCGACGACATGCGTGACTACTGCGACATGCTGTACCTGCGCACACTCCCCGCCTTCGCCTCACTCTCCCTGCCCACCGCCCTACCCGCCTCGACACTGCAAAAAGACGCCGACATCCCCACCGACCTGATCCTCGGACCAGAAGAAACCCTCACCGCGCTGCGCCGCGCCGCCAAGATCTCTCCGCGCCAGTTCGCCCGCCTCGTCGAGATGCACCTACTCAGCACCATCCCGCCGCTCCACCGCAGCACTGCGCGTATCACGCGCAAGGAGAAGAGCGGTCACGAGAATGACCGCCGCTACTATTTCTGGCGCCTGGCGTTGAAGGAGCGCCTGTATCGACATAATGCGGATCAGCTGGCGCAGATGGAGCAGAGTGAGCGGATAGAGAAGGTCGAGGAGACGGCGAAGGGTGTGGAGGCGGACTATACGCGGTTACTGGAGGGAGTGGAGAAGCGGGCGAAGTGGGCGAAGGTGCAGGAGGCGAACGGTAGTGCAGCGCATGGGGGGAAGAGGAAGAAGAGGGTGGTAGACGAGGAAGATGAAGACGATGATGAGGATGTGGTAGGAGGTGCGCGGGAGGTCATTGCGGCGAAGAGGCCGAAGGTTGCGGGATGATTTATGGGTATGGGATGGGCGTTAAGGCGGATATGTTCCGGATACCTTCCTGGCCATTTTCTCCCACCGCTTCGATATAACTGCCCTAGATCGGAATATTGCTATGATTTAGGTACAAATGCAGTTGATAGAACATTTCGAAGTGCGTTATAGATTAGGATTAAAAGGGGTTGGGCTGGTACTTTTCGATATCCCATGGGTAGCTGGTGCTGGAATGCGTTCTCTTTAGCATTGACTGCGCCTAATGTGGGCTCCTATGCAGCCTCTACCTTCGAGGTTTCGGGAGTTATAACTAGTACCGGGATCATGACTAAACTTTTTATGTATATCAGCAACGGTGAGGTTCTTTCGGGATGGAGATGCAAAGCAACACATCAATCACAACATATTCCACTGTCTTGTAACTGTGTACAATAATCTCTATATGACTCGGATGACGTGCGGTAGGAAGAGAAGGCTAAGACAGCAGCAATGTCACAGGATTGTAATATTACAACTTTTTCAGAATACCTGCTAGACTCTGAATCCAAAACTTCCGACCCTTCACTCCCCTACTTCCAGCTTCACCTCAGAACTTCACACCTCGCCCACCAATTACATCTTTTACGTTCTTGCAACAGACTTTGGGCCCGCAGGAGTATCTGCCTCGGTGTAATAAAAGTTCTCCTCTGGGGTCCGACCCCTCAGGTACTCGGGCTCTGAGCCTTTCACGTAAATATCCTCGAACAAGATCTGAGGAGTTGGGTCAGGCGGGGCCATCTTCTCGGCTTCGGCGACTTCGGCATCAACAGAGGAGCGGGCGTCCTTGTCGATCTGCTTTAGTTCATCTTCAGATACAACACCCCAGTCAATGAGCTTCTGCTTCAGGCCGGCGATAGGATCGTTGGTGCTGCGCATGCGTTGAATTTCCTCACGAGTCTAGGTGATGGA